GGGGGGGGGGGGGGGGGGGGGGGGGGGGGGGGGGGGGGGGTGTGGGATGTGGATGTGAGGTGTGGGTGTGGGTGTGGGTGTGTGAGTGTTTGGGTGTGGGTGTGGGTGTCGGCATAAGCATGAATAGCAGACATTTTTAGCCACACCACCGACACACACACCCCACACTCACACTCGAACTTGCATGAAACTATGATCAAATTTATGAAATCGTTGGTAAAAGGGAATTATAAAAAAACTTTTGATAAGTGGATTCAACAAATGAAATTGTGTATAAACAATCGGGTTGATTATTTTGAACATCTGATGTAATAAAAAACATGATAAACTTGGTTCAAAAAAATTTTTTTTTGTCAATCCCTCATTGTTTTTCATTTTTCTCCAATATTATATATTGTTTGAAGATTTAGGAAATATGACAGAATTATAAAGCTTGGCTTGGGCTATCAGAATATAGAGAGAAAAAAATTGCTAGAGGCTTCTGTAAAATACTACAAAAGCTGGCGCCACTACGTTTGGTATGTCCTAAGTATTTCAATCGCCTGTCTTACAGTCTTTTCCTTCTTTCGATAAATGATTCGATATTACGAATGAATTCTCTGTTATATGGTTTAAATTCTTTGTCTTTTTCAATTGAACAAAAGACTGGAAAATATCACGTCAATCAATTTTTATTCATTTTCTCATTGTAAAATGTGATACATAAATTATATGAGCAATGTGATCTTTGATTGTTGATTGCTTAATTCCAATTTAATTGAATCAACCTCTTCTTTGGGAATGGCATTGCGCTGTACCACCAAGTATTGGAGTTTTGGCATCTTCAAAATGGTTCTTGGTATATGAGTTATTTGAGTGTGGGCCAGATCCAGAAAAAACAGGCCTTCAAGCTAATAAATCTCTGGAGGAATGACCGAAATCTTTGTTTCACTAAGTCTAAGCTCTGTTAGATTGGTAAAATAAGTAACGATATACATATTCGTCACAGGATTGTAGTTCATATCGAGTCTACGAAGTGCTTCAGGTACTGCTAGAATTGGTATTTTAGTGAAGAGATTCTTATAAAGTAATAGCGAATTAACTTTTATCAATCCTTCAAGTTTGGATAACCGATTATTTGGAAGGGAAAGTCTAATTAAATTAGACAATCCACTAAGGTTTGGTAAATCAGTAAGCGAACACTTATCCAAAGTCAAACTCTGAAGGCGTTGAAGAGTTGCTAGTTTATCGGTCATTTTAGTGATAGGTGTGTTAGTCATACTAAGAGTATGCAGTTCTTGAAGATTTGACAGAGTATCCGGTACAATACCTTAAAGAAAAACTTATCAATTATTACTGAACAACAAACTATAAGAATAGATATTACCATTTTCGAAAAACATATTTACAATGTCCAAAGCCTGAAGATTTTTCAAACAGAAGACACTCTCAGGAACGATGCTACCGGCTTGTCTGAGTTGAAGCATAACCACTGAAGTATTATTGGAGTCCAGAATAGCTGTACTCTTATCTGGTCCTTGCTGTGTGTAATCGAGACCAACAGGGAATGGAAAGCGAGAGAGAATGTCCAAATCGTTGGCATACTGACCACATTGTAGACTTACATCGCTACTTCTCTTTGAAAAATCTTAATAAACAATATCAAAATTCCAAAGCATATAAAGCAATACAAATTGAACTTACTTCTACTTATGTACGATGCTTTTTCATCACATTTCATGAGCGAACAACACCAACATAAGATGAAAAATAGATCAACAATCTTAAATTGATGCATTTATTGCTATACGATTTATTCTCTTCCAATTATCAGCAATATTCACATTTTATTGGTGGGCATTCTGTATATATATATACATCAGCAAAGACAAAACCTGACTTTAGAAAAGAAAAGCAATTTTGTTGAGATTAGCACATTTCAAAACAGTGCCACGCGATGTAATTTAATCTTAATTCTTCACATAAGCTCAGAAAAACATTTTCACTTAAAATATATTTTCATATCAATAGATACATCGATATTGAAAAATGTTTCAGAGCAGAGAAAAAAAATGATAAAAATATCGATTGGCAGTAGTGTTGCGTAGGATGTTATTAACAACTGAATCCAGTTGTAAAGGTTTTGCTTGAATATTTATAAACAACCTAAGGTGGAAAACAATACAAATTCCACGCAAATTCTTTTTCGTCTTTGATTTAAGCAGTAAATAATTCAACAGTGTATGAGTAACTTTTGATGTTAACATAAAACATCTGATTATTGAAGTTTGCGCGACAAATTATAAAACTTGTATTTAAAAAGAAACAATGCAGACTTCAGCTCAATGAATAGGTGCGAGGCTAACGTGCGTTTATTTGGATTTATTTATATCAAAAGACATGTTTACATTTTTATATATCGAAGAAAAGGAACAAAGGAGAAAAGAACGATACAGCAACCACAAGAGATAAATATGAAGAATAAGACAATCGAAGGAAGTTACTACTTGCAATGGCAATGTCGTCTGTGTGAAATTTCAATTAAAAATTTGAAAAATTTCGAAAAAGTCAAAGTCCTTCGCTAAGAATAAGCGACGTTCGAAAAATTCGTACCAAAGATTTAAATCGTTTTAAAATATGTTTTCACAATTGAAGAACACATTTTGAGAAATTAGTTCAACGTGGAAAAAATCTCTGTGAGAAAAAATCGTGTGAATTGATATTTTTGACTCGAATTTTTCGAGATTTTACATATTTACACATATGCATGCACGTCCTTCCTTGAGGGTGTGGGTGCTCCGAAATCTCTATCACACATACATCAGCACATATATCTCTGCTGAGGCTACTCGGAAATCGTGATTCAGCATGAAAAACACATTTCTTATTGAATGAACTTGCTCGACTTTGGATCAAAATCTTCAAACTTCTTCTTTGCCATTCATTCACTACGGAATGAGTTTTTCGTGTAGAACCATAATTTCCCAGCACCCTCAGCAGGGAGATATGTGGTGAGGTGTGATCAGGATTTCTGTGGCACCCTCAGAGAAAGATGAGTGTGTATATGTATATTGATGCGAAATATCGAAAATTCCAGCCAAAAATATTAATTCAAAGAATTTTTTTCCTGCAGATATTTTTTCTTCTCCATGTTGAAACAATTCCTCAGAGCGGGTTTTCCAATTGTCAAAACCTGTTTCAGTCTTTGGGAAAAAATTTTTCCAACATTTTTTGAGATGTCGCATCATTATACATATACACACACCGGCTCATATCTCTTTACTGAGGATGCTCGGAAATCGTGGTTTCACCTGGAAGACAGATTCCTTATTGGATGAATCACAAATGAAAAAACTCGAAGATGTTCATCCAAGTTCTATCAAAATCCCGCAGCAAAGAATCTATTTTTAATATGGAGTGACGATTTCCAAGCACCCTAAAGTAGAGAGATATGTGCTGATGTACATTTGATAAAGATTTTCGTAGCACCTTCAATAAGAAAGACATGAGTGTATATGTATAGTGATGCACAATCTCGAAAAATCTTCGAAAACTTTCTTCACGAAGACTAAAATCGCTTCAAAATAGTTTTCACAGTTGGAGGACGCATTCTGACGAATTGTTTCAATTTGGAGAAAAAAAATCTCTGTGAGGAAAAACTCGTTTAAATTGATATTTTCCATGAAAAAAAATTAGTACAAATTTGCGTTTCAACGCATTTTTTTTTATAGTTCACATGCTTTCGCTAGACTTTAACCCTTCGATTACCGTGCGAGAAAAATTCCGTGGATTACCATGCATGGACATTCTTGTCCATAACTATAAGTCATTAAAACTTAACTTTGGTCAGCTTTATCATTTATTTTTTTTGTT